TCTACTATCAGGGTTCTACTAGCCTACACTGTTTAGAGACGCCTTTGAGTTTGTCAAGAGGTGTGACAGATGTGAACGCACTGAAAATATCTCGAGGAGGAATGAAATGCCATTGACTAAAATTCAGGGTTCTTGAAGAAATATATTTTCACCCGATATGGTACACCACGAGCTATAATCAGTGACAGGGGCAAAACACTTCTGTAATCGCCAGTTTGAGCAGCTGTTGAACAAATATGGCATTAAACACCGTGTTGCTACCCATATCATCCCCAAACCAGCGGGCAAGTTGAAGTATCTAATCGACAGTTGAAGGGAATACTCAAGGTCGAAGTGAACTCATCTAGAAAGGACTGGTCTAAAAAGCTGGACGATATATTGTGGGCTTACAGGACAGCATTTAAGACACTGATAGGTATGTCTCCATACCGCCTAGTTTTTGGAAAAGCGTGCCATCTGCCACTAGAAATGGAGCACCGGGCATATTGGGCTATGAAACAGTTAAATATGGATTTGAGTGCCGCCGGTGACAAGCGCCTACTGCAACTTAAAGATTTAAATGAATTTATAATGGAAGCTTATGAAAATTCAAAATTCTACAAGGAACGAACCAAGAAGTGGTATGACATGCATATTCAGAGGTGAGAATTTGAAGTGGGGCAGCAAGTGCTATTGTATAATTCGAGACTCAAGCTGTTCCCAGGAAAACTACGATCACGGTGGGCAGGTCCCTACACTGTCACGAAAGTCCTACCCTATGGGGCTATACAAGTCAGCCATGAGACTAAGGGTACCTTCACTGTCAATGGGCAAAGGCTGAAACACTACTGGGGCGGTGACTTCTCCAACTAAAAGTCCATCGTTCAACTCAGGATGTCAGAATAAAGCAGCTACAGAAAAGTCGAGCTATCGACTATAACCTAGCGCTAGTGGGAGGTAACCCATTGTATCATTTTCATTACTTTTAATTTTTGCATTAGTTTAGAAATTTTTAATTTTCACGTTTGATTTTTTTTTTAGATATCAATCATCCATGTATGTCAATAGAATCTAAGCACCGTTCACAGGAATTCCTAGGTATAGAGCATATCTTCGGTAAGCTTGAAGTGGTTTTGGGTGATTGAGGGTATAATTCACGCATTTCAAGACAAAAGGTCATTTTCAAAAATTTAAAGAGCCAATCTGTGATTGAGAGTTCAAAGTGGTATTGCACTAAGTTAAAACCCACACGCGCACCAAGATGTGTAAAAATCTGACTTTGAAAAGTTTGGAGTGTTGAAAGATCGGGTCAAAGTGTTAATTGAAAATCAAAGTTGGTCGAGGTCATGTTCTTGGGGGAAAATCAAATTTTTTTTACTTTATTTTGTTTTGCTCTATTTTATTTATTAATGGCAATATATATAGATAAGAGGGACGTTTAGTCTATGCGGCCGTATAGACTAAACATCTATGCAGCCGCATAGATGCGGCCAATTTTGGCCCTAACCTTTATCTCTATGCGACCGCATAGAGATACTCTATGTGGTCGCATAGAGTAATGATGAAAAAAATAATTTAAAACATCAGTTTTTAAATTCTTCATTGATGATCTCCTATCTCATCATCTCGAGTAGGGCATCATAGGTGGTGGGGTCTTGATTTTGCACGTCCCTCCAAAACAGGGTGTTCATGTTCAGGCCTCCTCTCAATGCAAATAACGTCTCAAGGTCAGTGACTTACACACAGTACGTCATCTTATTAGTGAAGCGTGATAGGAAGCTCTTTAGGGACTCCACATGTGCTTGTCTCATATCTTGGAGACGTTGGATGGGAGCCTTTCGCTCTTTGCTCACAATGAACCTCTTCAAGAAGGTGGTCTTGAATTCGGGCCAACTTCTTATGCTCTCAGGTGGTAACCTACTATACCAAATTTCAGCTGCTCTGCTAAGTGTTAAGTGGAAAGCTCTAGATTTTAGAGCTGGGGTGGCGCCCCTTAGGCTCATGTGAGTTTTGTAAGCATTCAGATGCTTCTCTGGGTCGCATCTTCCGTCATACTTTGGTATCTTGGGCGTAACGTAGCAGTTCGGGACCTGGACACTCCTTAGTTCCCTTGAGAATGGCAGGTTTTCATCATCATCGTCCAAGTCACAGGACCTCTGCTACTCATCTGAATCGTTTTCATCGGCCTCATACCTTGGTGGTTGGTGAGAGGTGATGGGACGGTTCCTAGCCTCCTCTTCCCTCCTTTGGTGCCTATTTCTAGGCGATGCAGCACGGGGGGCATTTTCATACCTTTCTTCTGGATGTTGAGGCATTGGAGGTGGGGGTTGTGGCCTTATCCAAGGTTCGCGAGACTGTTGTTGCCTAGGACTCAGTTTTGTAGTGCTGATTCTGTCAAATACACTACCTGACCTCTTATGTCTTCGCTCTTGCTCATATAGAGGTGGAAAGTTATCTTGGTTCAAAGAGACTTTGGTGGGTCGCCCAGAAGCGTAGTTGGAAGAAACATCAACTTCCACTTTCCGACCCACCCGCGAACACATGAGTGCCAACAGATGTCGGACCCACCCGCGAACACGCTAAGACACGTGGACGGTCTAAAACGGATAGATCAATGGCGTGGGAGTAGCTCAACGGCACAGGACGAGAACATTTGAAATCCAACGGGATGTTCGTAGACCGATTGTACAATAATTACCGATCGATGTTTGTAAATGTGTATCTAAATATGTATGAACTCGTTTGTGTTGCAAGATAATAAGAAGGAGAGAGTTGAGTAAAATATGATTTCTTGTATTAATTATTGCATTAGCCTTTGTATGGGGTATATGAGGGAATATTTATGGTGTCAAAAGTTAGATCGTGACCTTTGGTTCGGGGTACATGTGACCTCATCCGGTTAATTTACATGTCAAAGTATAGGCATCAGCCGCACGTAGCTTGCTATACATTTATTGATTGGCAGAGCCATC